CTCAAAATCTCCCTCGAGCTGCCCCCAAATCCCCCAAGAGCCCCCCCAAAGTTCCCAAACTTCGCCCAAAAATCCCCTCAAACTCCCCCAAATCCCCCCAAATTCCCAATTTTCTCCCCAAAATTCCCAAACCCCCCCAAACCTCCCCCCAAAATCCCCCAAATCCCCTAAAATCCCCGCCAAAATCCCCAAATTTCCACCAAAAATCCCCAAAAATCTCCCTCAACCCCCCCCAAATCCCCCAAATTTCCCCCCAAATCTCCCCAAAATTCACCCAAATTCCCTCTGCAAAAACCCCAATTTTCCCCCCAAAAATCCCAATTTTTTTCCCCAAAAATCCCAATTTTTTCCCCAAAATCCCCCCAAATTTCCCCCGAAGTCCCCCCCAAACTCCCCAAATTCCCAAATTTCCCCCCAAAAATGCCGAATTTCCGCCCCCGGTTCCCACCGCTCTCCTCGGCTCCTTCTGGTCGCTCCCAAATCCCCCCCGGATCCTCCCAAAATCCCCAAAATTCCCGGGACCTCCCCCCGGGGGGGCTCCAGGGGGGCTCCCGGACCCCGAATTCCCGCGGGAATTCCCGCGGAAAATTCCCAAAGTTCCCTTAAAAAAAAACCCCAAAAACAAAAAGGGAAAAATTCCCCAAATTCTGGGGGTTTTGAGGGGTTGAAAACCCCGAAATTGCGATTTTTGGGGACTTTTTTACTCACGAAATTTCAATTTTTTGGGACATTTTCATTCGCAAAAAAACCCCAAAATTCCCATTTTTATTTCCAAATTCCCCCATACTCCCAATTTTGAGGACTTTTTATTCCCAGAATTCCCATTTTTGGATCCTTTTATTCCCAAAATTTCCATTTTTGGGAGTTTTTATCACCACAATTCCCATTTGGGGAACTTTCTATTCACAAATTCCCCCAAAATTCAGATTTTGGAACTCTTTATTCACAAAAATTCCCATTTTTTTCCCTTCTCACCCCCAAATATCCCACTTTTTTAACTTTTATAACAAAAAATTCCCATTTTCCGGACCTTCTTACCCCAAAATTTCCCAATTTTCTCCCTTTTATCTCAAAAATTCCCATTTTTCCCCTTTTATCCCCCAAAATTCCTGCTTTTGTGCCTTCCCCCCCGCCAATTCTCATTTTTGTGAACATATTACCCCAAAATTTTCTATTTCTAGGACCCTTTTATTCCCAAAATTCCCATTTCAGGACCCTTTTCACCCCCAAAATTCCAATTCTTTGCCCCAAAATTCCAATTCTTTGCCCCAAAATTCCCCTTTTCTCCCCCAAAATTCCCATTTTTCCCATTTTTAACCCCCAAAATTCCGATTTTTTCCCCCTTTTTAACCCCAAATTTCCCATTTTTAACCCCTTGTTCCCCCAAAATTCCCATCCCCGCCCCCTTTTTACCCAAAATTCCCAATTTTTTCCCCCGTTTTTATTCCCAAAATTCCCATTTCCCCCTCCCCCCCCCCTCGGGGGCTCCCTCCCCTCCCCCCAAATCCCCAAAACTTCGGGAAAAGGGGGAGGGGAGGGGTCACGTGACCGCGCAGCTGCCGCCCCTCCCCCCCCGGCTGCTCCAGGGAACAGCTGGAAAAGGGGGGGGGGAGGGGGGAATTCCCCAGCTTTGCTAATTAATTCCTGATTAATAACCGCGATTTCTTAATGACTCAGCGCCGTTAGTCGATATTTCCCACACAATAATAATTATTTCCCGGATAGCAATAATTATTTCCTGAGCATTTTTCATTTTTTTTTCAATTTTTTTCCTAATTTATTTGTCACCATTAGTAATTTTTAGTAATTACCAGTCGTTATTTCCTAATCACTAGTAATTATTATTCATTATAAGCTAATTATTAACAACTATATCCCAATCAAGAATCTTAATTTCAGAATTTTTAAGGAATTCCCCAGCTTTGCTAATTAATTCCTGATTAATAACCGCGATTTCTTAATGACTCAGCGCCGTTAGTCGATATTTCCCACACAATAATAATTATTTCCCGGATAGCAATAATTATTTCCTGAGCATTTTTCATTTTTTTTTTCAATTTTTTTCCTAATTTATTTGTCACCATTAGTAATTTTTAGTAATTACCAGTCGTTATTTCCTAATCACTAGTAATTATTATTCATTATAAGCTAATTATTAACAACTATATCCCAATCAAGAATCTTAATTTCAGAATTTTTGAAATTATTTAGTATTATTAGCAATTATTACTCCCATTAATTAACGATTATTATCTATAATTACCCATTAATTAGTAATTATTGTCTATAATTACCCATTAGTTACCAATTATTAGCGCTAATTGCCCTTTGATTAGCAGTAATTAACTATTATCCCCCCGTTGTCATCAATTACCGAGGTCTCCCTTTCCTCATTAACAAACCACTCCCCTCATTTGCATAAACACACCCCTCATTATAATGCAACAGTCAATCATCCCATTGCCCCGCCCCCACGGCAAAACCACGCCCTCTCCCCTCACGACCAAACCCCGCCTTCCGCCCCTCTCAACCAATCAGCGCCGCGCTGCTGCGACCAATCAGCGTTGTTGCTGAGAGGAAGCAGCCAATCAGCGGCGCCGCCGCGCGGGGGGCGTGGCCCCGCTGCCGTGAGGGGGAGGCGGCGGCCGCCATGTTAGAGGCGGCTGAGGGCGAGCGGGGAGGGGACGTATGGAGGCCATAGGGGCTCTGTGGGGGCGGTTTGGGCTTCCAAATGGGGCTGGGGGCTCCTCTGGAGGGTCCGGGGGGGTTTCCAAGGGGTTTGG